ATCAATGTGAGTGATCGAGGTTAACCATTTAGCGTTATCCTGTATTGACTTTACATGTTGGCCATAAAGCATAGACATGGTGTTTTCCACGTGGAGAGCACATGTAGCTGTATTTTCTTAACATTATCTGCGTTAATTGGTCGTCCACCTTTGTCGCGAGTGATATAATAGTACGTAAAGGTTAGATGTAGTTGTTTACTCCAATGAGATTTTATATCATTAAAATATAAACGTATTTCTGAAACTTAAATGAATATATTTAATAGAGCAAGTTTAAAGCATAGCATGTTTTGGTTATTAATTCATTCAATGTATTCAACCATATACACAATAAATCACTAAATTAAGTTATTCTATGGAACACTGATTTCCTGATATTTTGAAAAATTTTCACAGAATAGTTCTCGCCTTTCATAAATGATTTAATTTTGTTTACTCCTGACTGTGCTTGACAAACGACTATAATACATATACTTGTTATATATATATATATATATATATATATATATATATATATATATATATATATATATATATATATATATATATATATATATATACACAATAAACTGACGACGAACAGTATGAAACTAGTAACTAACTAGCCTAAGCGCTTTCGACTCTTAATGAGTCTTTTTCAAAGGCAAATACAAAACATATATACGACAAACAAATAAACACAAAAATGTTGTGTTTGTAAACCTCTACATGGCTGTCTCCACATGTGTTAAGACTATAAATACAACCAGCTTGTATAGACTAGTTGCGGAAACTGAAAACGGTGTATAATTCCCTAAAAGTCTACAGGCCAAAGCGACATCTATTTTTACTTTTCGTTTATTTATGTAACGCAGATTATATCCCGGATATTTGATTCTATACCGGTTATTCTTATAGTAAAAATTGAAAGATAATAAGAAGATTTAGAAGATGTTAAATTCTACTAGTGCATAGTTTTCATTTTCTAGTCTTCTTGGTTTAGACCGCTTGGTTTCAATGTTCTAAGGCGGCGTATCCAGTATGATTCCTTTTCCTTCCTGGTTTCGGAACTCCAGCTGTGGTTGTTAGCAATATCGATAAGTATTATATCACTGAAAGTGTGGCCAGGAGAGGAGAACCGTTCTGCGATCGGGCTTCTGTACAGCTTTTTTGTCATCCAATCAGATCTATGAAGGTTTATCCTTTTGTGTAGCTTTTCAGTTTCTCCGACGTACTGAAGGCTACAGATCTTACATGTGATGAGATAAATCACATTCTCTGTTTTGCACGTTTTGTTTGGACCATGTATGTTTAGTTTTTCTTTAGTCACTGTGCTAGTGAATGTCTTGGTCTCTATCATATGTTGACAGGTTTTGCATCTTTTATCGCCACAGGGTCCAGATTGACTAGGCTGGTTTTGACTAGCGATTGGCGTTAGCTTTGCCCTGACTAGGATGTCCTTTAGGTTTTTTGGTCTCCGGTAAGCTACTACAGGTTTGTTCGGAAGTATTAGGTTTAGTATGTCTGACGATTGCATGGTTGGCCAGTGGTTTGCGATGATTTTACCTACTTTGGGATTTTTGTCTGGGTGATAGGTCAGAATAAATGGTATCCTATCAACCTTTTCTTTCTGTCCATATCTGGTATGGTGTACGCTCAACCGATGCTAAGAGTTGACCCTCAAGTTTTCCCATGAAAATGTTAGCATACGAACATTCCATATAGCCAGGCACTGAGGATACGCAGAATTTGCTCCGACGATGAAAGATTCCTGGAAAGGTCTGAAGAGCTGGCTAAACATTTAAATTACCGAGGCTACGACAAAGACCTGATTGCGGAGGCAATCCAAAGGGCCTAACAAACAAACCGTGATGACCTACTCAGATATGGACAGAAAGAAAAGGTTGATAGGACACCATTTATTCTGACCTATCACCCAGACAATCCCACAGTAGGTAAAATCATCGAAAACCACTGGCCTACCGTGCAATCGTCAGACATACTAAACCTAATACTTCCGAACAAACCTGTAGTGGCTTACCAGAGACCAAAAAACCTAAAGGAAATCCTAGTCAGGGCAAAGCTAACGCCAATCGCTAGTCAAAACCAACCTAGTCAATCTGGACCCTGTGGCGATAAAAGATGCAAACCCTGTCAACTTATGATAGAGACCAAGACATTTACTAGCACAGTGACTAAAGAAAAACTAAACATACATGGTCCAAACAAAACGTGCAAAACAGAGAATGTGATTTATCTCATCACATGTAAGATCTGTGGCCTTCAGTACTTCGGAGAAACTGAAAAGCTACACAAAAGGATAAACCTTCATAGATCTGATTGGATGACAAAAAAGCTGTACAGAAGCCCGGTCGCAGAACACCTCTCCTCCCCTGGCCACACTTTCAGTGATATAATACTTATCGATATTGCTAACAACCACAGCTGGAGTTCCGAAACCAGGAAGGAAAAGGAATCATACTGGATACGCCGCCTTAGAACATTGAAACCAAGCGGTCTAAACCAAGAAGACTAGAAAATGAAAACTATGCACTAGTAGAATTTAACATTCTAAATCTTAATATCCTTCAACTTTTACTATAAGAATAACCGGTATAGAATCAAATATCCGGGATATAATCTGCGTTACATATGTACACAAAGTAAAAATAGATGTCGCTTTGGCTTGTAGACTTTTAGGAAATTATACAACGTTTTCAGTTTCCGCAACTAGTCTATACAAGCTGGTTGTATTTATAGTGTTAGCAAATGTGAAGACAGAAATGTAGAGGTTTACAAACACAACGTTTTTGTGTTTATTTGTTTGTCGTAACTATGTTTTGTATTTGCCTTTGAAAAAGACTCATTAAGAGTCGAAAGCGCTCAGGCTAGTTAGTTACTAGTTTCGTACTGTTCGTCGTCAGTTTATTGCATCTATATATATATATATATATATATATATATATATATATATATATATATATATATATATATATATATATATATATATATATATATATAAAGAATACAAATCCGAAATAATTAGCAAATTGCTAGGAACAAACATCACGGAAAGAAAGTGTTAGTGAGTTTTCATGATGCTATTCATGGTCAATGAGTAGCGAATTCAAAACCAAACCGCATGGCTGTCCATGGGAATTTGGTGGTCCTTATTAAAATCTAGTGGTGTACATTGGTGTTGTGACTGCAGTGGCAGCATTTACGGTAGGAAACCGGTAAATTACACAATGAAATAAAGAAAAAGGGACTCGGCAGACACCGTTTATGTCGTCATGGTGGCAAATGTTATGAAGTTTTCCTGACGTGATGTGCCTTGAAACCATATATTGACTGGCTTAAGGTGGCGTACTTTAAATAGTTCCATGTGTTGTGGGATAGTTGTAGAGTTTCTCTGGTATAAACTGCTGACGGTACGGAAAGCTAATGAAGAGAAACTATGCATTTGTGTGGTTGATAGATATTTGGCAAGTTGTGAGTAATGGATATATCGTTTAGTACACTCGATATAACAAACCATTGCTTTCTCGTAAAGCCAAATAAATTTCCAGAAAATACTAACAGTTGTCAACATAACATCGTAATCAGTCTATGTAGTAATAATCAAACTCTCTAACAAATCTTTTATTGGTCTGGACATTGTTCCATTAAGCTTGAATTAATTTGTCAGATTTAATGGTACGTAGCACGATGAATGATGAATAATGGTAGTACACTTTTGAGTTAGAATGTTGGATTGCATTAGATGCCGCAGCAATTAAAATAAAATGGAATTGTAACAGCTGAACAGCTTGGTGAGTATTACAACTTATTTCCTTATTTTCAGATCGTTTCTAATTAATTCTTCTTTAATTTACTCGATCCAGTTTGTAGATCCTACAATGTCATTCAAACCTGTAGTGGTTCAAGAATTTGTGGCCGGAGTTTTTGCTTTTTCTTTTTGGAGCTGTGAGTTGTTTCTTACACCGACAAAGAACTGATTTGCTCAAAACGTTTTGAAACTGAATTGTATTGTCAAGTTTTGTCTCAATACATCATCGAGTTCCTGTATAATAATAGACGTCCATTATTCCCATGGGTCGCAGATTACATCCTATTTTGTTCCTAGCAGCACAAGTGTCATCATGATCAAACTTTCAGGAATTTGCTCTCTGGTTTTCCTAATTACGATTTCAGTAATAAACAAGGAAATGTCATAAATGACTTTTTAGTGAGATAAGAAAAATGATTATATACTTGAGCGGCAGTTTCATGTACGAGTAGTTAACTTCTTTCAAAATATTTGTAATAGGCTTAAAAAAAATCTCATATTTATTGCCCAATAAAAGAAACAATTTGGTCTCCTAGTTAATTCAATTAATACGCCCGCATGACATTAAAGCAGATTAGTATAAAAAATTAGCTCAACACAACCATAATTACACACGATTCTCCGAAAAGGACAAATGTTAAATCGTGAGCTTTCTATTGTTCATTTTATTAAATCTGATATTATGCAGTTTTACTTCCTTGTGCATGAATGTCCTGTGTGACACAATGGTAGAATTTCGTTAATAAACATTGTTAGAAGAAACACATATTCGGACCACCCACTTTTCCACAAATTGATACTCAGATTGTGTGCTTCCAAGGCAGTTTTAATTAGACACGTTTCTCTCACTGAGGCAAGAAATGCATCAAAAACTACGTTGTTTAAAAAAAATTAAATCAAAAGATAGTAATTCTTTCATTTTAACATTTGCATTTGTATTTTCTTATTGTTATTGTGTTTTCATTATTGGATTCGCTTTTAATTCCAATTATTTGGCATTACATTCCACGACCGAAGCAAAAGGATTTTAATAAATCTGAATCGGATGTCTCCACCCACCTCCTTTAAGATATGAGACCGTCTATACTATATACAAATCATTACTTTGATGTATTTTCTCCCTGATTTGTAAATTAGGGACACACAGTATATATATATATATATATATATATATATATATATATATATACCAGTGGTATAGTAGTTAGAACGTCCGCCTCGGATGCAGGAGGTCGTGGGTTCGATCCCCAGTCGAATCCTACCAAAGACTTACCAAAATGATGCTAATAGATGCCTCGCTTGACGCACAACATTAAGAGGCTAGTGTTAGGATTGATCATAACGGTGTCATGATAATTGACTGGGTGGAGCATCGTGCTACATGTCCTCAGCATGATGCCACGGTGCTAGGCATCACTATACACTGCCACACTACAGACATTGTAGCGCTATGACTGAAAAATTGTTAAAGCTACGTTAAAAATCATAATCACATCATCAAATGGGGATCCCGTTTCAATAAGCGTTTCGGCGATGAGCGACGACGCCTTCCTGGGTTGAACCGACAGCGTTTGTTAGACGTATCCCAGAGCCGATTACATTTCTCCACTCTTTTCCGCAAGATCTCAGTCTTTTTGCCTAAATTCCTGCGATTAGGTCTTGACTCTCAATGTAACTGAATATGTCTGTGCTTCAAAGTCACGGCATCTTATATCCACCGATAGATTATATGCCTATTTTATGGGGAACTAGTTGAAGGCAAGCGTTCCAGAGGAGGCCAAACCAAAAGAAAAGGTACAATGACACGCTCAAAGCCTAATTAAAATCCTGTGGCATTGATCCAGATAGCTGGGCTCAGCTTGCAGAAGACCGCGCTGCCTGGCGTCACCATATCCACCCAGGCGATACTGCTTTTGAAGAGCACCGGAAGAGCAGAATCAGCGCAAACCCTCAATTGATCCAGGCCTCAGCAATTCCCTGCCCTCATTGCCCATGACTTTTCAGAGCGTGGATTGGCTTCACAAGCTATCTGCGCACTCACAGACCAGCCCAGACGTGAAGTCATGGTCGTCTTCGAGAAAAAGGACGAACAATAACAACATGCCTTCCATCAATTCTGCTGCCATTCATGAATGTGTGGCTGTTATTTGGCCCATGTCCTCTTTTGGGTCTCCTCTATTTTACATTCTCTTGGCACTGTCGCTTCCAACAAAATCATATTTTGGTACTTCGCGACTACGTCACAATGTCAGATCTGAATTTAGTGTCACGGATATCGTTTGTGAACCTCAGTTGATCTTTTACATCTGTCTGCATTTACCAGTCCTGCCCCGTTGTCAACAGGCCTTTGGCTTCAGTCTTTTGTATCTGTGTCTGGCCGCGTGTAACACAGCTGATGAAGTTGAGACAGCTGTTCTTTTGATGATTTTTATCATGGCTATATCCATACTGGCATCAATCTCAGCAACACCTGGTCATGGCACCAACGATAACCACCATCTACGAGACCGTCTTTGCAGAATGATACATGTTCACAAACTCTCCAATGAAAATCTCCCAAAATTCCAAAACGTTTATGGTTTGGGTGGTCAGTTAGTCTCCACGTCTTGAGGTTTGTTCGTATAGGGAGGAAATCATACACTGAACGTAAGAGGAAACTGATTTTCTAAGGATTAATTCTCCAGATATCGCCCCAATTCTCCAGATATCGCCCCGTGACAATTATTTAGCCCTCACAGATTCCCATTGTAGGAAATATCCGTGATTTTTCTTACCGACAGTATTAACGTGCTCGTCTTCTTCCTCTGCAAGACGTACTTCTCTCTGCAACATGGCACACTTCTCTTTTGGTATTTGCTGCTGGCCATCAACTTCTTTTCAGACTTTCCAGTTCCATCTTTCCTGTGGCCTACCATGTCACCGTCACAATTTGATTATTTCAACTCAATTTGTTGTCACCCACTTTTAATATGTCCATTGTTGCTGCTTCTCTTGCCTTCTCATCTGTGCTGTCTTTGAACATCATCACATTCCTGGCCTTAGTCACATCAAACTTCTTCCCATTGATGATAGTATTAACTAAAGCTTGCTGACGGTATAGTACAAGCCGATACTACTGAAGCTCCTTGGCACTCCCATTAACGGTTGCAGATATGTATTGAACATTCTATCAACTTCTCTCAGCTGTTTCTACGGCCATCACTTGGACTTCATATAATATAAGCCGTCAAGTGTTTCTTGTTAGAATACCATGCTGGTAACACCAGGCCTTGTACTTCCCAGGTATTCCATTATTATCGATGATTTCTTTCAGAATTTGGCATGTCTGCCACACCACTTGCGGAGGTTCTTAACTGGTTGCCTACTCAGTGTTGGTATCACTTCCTCTCCTATTTTAAACCTGTATCTATCTTGCTACTTCCCTTTCTTCAGAACCGGACTTAGATGGGCCTGATATTCATGCTGGCCCAATTTATCAGACTTTCGAAATCTTCTGACATATCATTCATAAATAATAGTAGTGAGTGGGGTACATTCGCGACAAGAGGACTTCTATGTTAAAAAGGTCCCCGGAAATTTGGCGATAAAGGGAATAGGGAATTGAACATGGGGATAGATAGCGAAAAGGGATTGGGCCTGTCTAGCGACAATGGGAATTGAACATAGCTAACGTCACGGTACTGGACACTGGCAACAATGTTGCAAGTGGTTGATCTCAATCGGATGGGACAGTATGGCAAGGGATGACCTGAATACGCACTACTTTAGGGACAAATATAGACATAAACATAGAGTCGTGTTAAAGACATAGACAGAGACATGAACATATGATCCAAACATATTTATGAACATAAATCTATCACACAAAATAATCAACCAAAGAATTTTTAGGCAAGAGAGAGTAGATATCTTTTCGAGGAAATGGAGTGGCCCTGAAAAGGGCGTTTGGTTTTTTGCTAACATTATTCAGTTAACATAAAGGGGATTGCACAGATCTTCTTTGCTTCCTCAAACTTCGTCTGACCTCTGGACCGTAGATTATTACTCACTTCAGACAGCCTTGTCTCTCCACATAGATCCTTCGTTTCCAAGGGGCTGTATCAGTTATCTTGGTAATAGCCGATGATGAGTTTATATATATGAAATTGTCCGGGTTGAACAGCATTGGAAATAGGATGGTAGACGATTCTACGTTAGCCAACATCTTGTGACGAGAACACGTTAAGCGAATGAAGTGGAAAGTGGTTATTTATGGTGGAAGAACGGATCAAAACGGATTGGGTTCTTTCACTAATCCTAACACGTGTTACTGATTTCAGTCACAATGCGGAGTCTGTCCTCCAATCCGAAGAAAGCTATCTCTGACGTTACATTTCTATATAGGTGCGATACATCTGTGTGAAATGCACCAGTGCGACAGAGTTAGAACAAGGTGGAAACTACGAAGACAATAAATTGGAGTGCACTAGCTGTGGATACGAGGAGTGATGGCACAGCAGCGGATACCAAAGCAAAGTTCTACTTCCAGAATAGAACGATTTTTATTGGGATTTAGATGATTTAGTTGATCTCTCTTCTTCACAAGAATTTGTTCTTGTACCAGTACCTTTGCCGTCTTCCCCTTGCTTACCGTACTTCGAGGATTTTAAACAGGTGCAAAAAGAATTGGAGAAAGTTTTGCAACAGCAGAAAGAAGCAGAACAAGTCTTTCTCACTCAACAGCAACAGCAAGAAGAAGAAAAGACAAGAAATAAACGACAGGAAGAAGAAACAGAGACAGTACTCTTAGACATTTTGGCAGAATTAAAGAGTCAGAAACAAATGTATCAGACTTCTTTAATACGACCCAATAAAAAGACCACTCTAAGACAAACAGTCCAACACGGTCAGCACACCTATTACACCCGAGATGCCAACACTAGTAATTTCAAAGAAATCCCTTATCCGTAGCTAAGGGATAAGGCAGTAAAGCTCATTATGTTCCTTTTTAGAGCAACCCACCTCCATCGAAAAGAGACTACTCAATGTTTGCCAAAGTCAAATAAAACTCAAATCCCCTTTTTCCCATGATTAGCCTATGTGAATGCATGAGTGGAGGTCCTTTTTATAACAATCAGAACTAAGAATGACATTTTTCTTTCTGGTATATTCACTGGTACAAATTCACAATCCAATTTCATAACACATCACTTTAAAACGTTCATAGACTACTTCTTTGTTTTTTTCCCTCTCTCCGATTTTTGAATTCTTCAATGTCACAGGTTTGCCCTCTTCTTCCTCACTTTCTTCTCGTTCTCTTTTCTTTTCTTTCTGGACGTGTCGTTCTCTTTTCTTTTCTTTCTGGACGTGTCGTGTTGTTCTTTCTCAGAGGGTATCTCTTCTTCCTATTTGTAACTCATCTATCCTTCTGCTCCTGTTGTTTCTTAGGGGAGTCTGAAGACAAATGTCATTTCTCTTCCCAATGATAACTGGTATCTTGCCCTTTGTCTCTTTCTAAGCTTCTCTTGCTTTGACGTTTGGACGTTCAGAAGACCAATGTCCTTTCTTCTCACAGATACAGCAAGTATCTTGACTTCTATCTCAAATGTAGCGAACTAGTCCGTTGGCTTCGCTGAAGAAAACCTTAGTATGACACCTCGCAAAGCTCTCATCATTAGTTCGATCTGTATTCTTTCTGGTATGATTGAGATTGAAATTAAAACTTTGAGGGAAGATACTGACTCTTTATATAGGGAAGACACTGACCTTATGTTTAGATACAGGGGACCATGGCATTTAAAATTTAGTCATTTTATCTTTTGCAATCAAGATGAAACGATTGCATCATTTTATGGAAAAAGAAGAAGAAAGCAAGAGGCAGAAACGAGACATATCAAATCCATGCCATCGATTTTAAAGATAACAAGAGAGCCGGAATTCAAACCCAGAGAATCTACGTCAAACCAAAGTCTACCACAATTAACACCTGAAAGATATCACATTTGAGAGACGGATAAACGCTCATCTAGAAAATTTAAAACCACTGCCTACACTTACACAGTGAAGTTTAAAGATTTCAAGTCAGACAAAGCATTGGAGAAAGCATAGGTGTTTATCTCCAATTTGTGGGATTCTTTGCTGACCACACCGAAAAGCCAATGTCAAGCCAACGAAGACGATCGCTTAGGACTTTCCGCATATCATGATAGTCTGAAGTCCTCTGTTTGGATCAAGTTTAGCAGGCCACAAGAGCTGACAACTTCCATAGCCACCGAAGAGATTCAC